GTGGTGAGTGCCGTAGTGGGGAGAGGGGAGAAGTGAAGGGGCAATGTAGAGCTGTTTTGGGGGGGGGGTAGGGGGGTAGAGGGAGGTGATTTTTGGGATGGTGGAGAGGAAAATGAGGAGGAGGAGTGCAGGAGGCATGTTGGGGTGGGGGGGGTGACAGTTGGGTCAGGGGAGGTGAAGGGATACAGGTCAGGGCAAGGTGGTGTGGGGAATCTGTATTACGTGGGAGAGTCATTTGAGTCCCTTCTGTTACGTGGGTCGAAGGGGTAGAGGGGGGGAGTGAGGGTGGAGGGCGGCAGCTGGGTTGGCAGCAGTCTGTGGGTGCAGTAAGCTGGCGACATGTGTGCTGTGGCATGTCTTCAGTGGGTACGGTGGTTCGGCTAGTGGAGGGGTCGTAGGGTGCGATGGCTGGGGGCGATGGTAGGCACGGCGACTGGTGATGCTGGCGGCTCGGTGACTGGGGTTGTTGAGGCCAGGCGTCGGGTGCTTGACGGGCTCGGCGTCGTGAGGCGCTGAAGGTGTTGCACTATTCCACCACTGACACCAACGATGGGACACTATTCCTCCCACTGATAACCAACGATGGGGTACTATTCTCCCTACTGATACCAATGATGGGGCACTACTTCTCCTCCCCACTGACACCAATGATGGGGCACTATTCTCCCCACTGATACCAATGATGGGGCGCAATTCCTCCCACTGACACCAATGATGGGGCGCAATTCCTCCACTGACACCAATGATGGGGCGCAATTCCTCCCACTGACACCAATGATGGGGCGCAATTCCTCCCACTGACACCAATGATGGGGTGCTATTCCTCCCACTGACACCAATGATGGGGCGCTATTCCTCCCACTGACACCAATGATGAGGCGCTATTCCTCCCACTGATTACCAATGATGGGGCACTATTCCTCCCACTGATACCAATGATGGGGTGCTATTCCTCCCACTGATACCAATGATGGGCCGCTATTCCTCAAACTGACACCAATGATGGAGCACTATTCCTCCCACTGACACCAATGATGGAGCACTATATTCCTCCCACTGACACCAATGATGGGACACTATTCCTCCCACTGACACTAATGATGGGACACTATTCCTCCCACTGACACCAATGATGGGGCACGATTCTTCCCACTGACACCAATGATGGGGCACTATTCCTCTCACTGACTAATGATGGGGCACTATTCCTCCCACTGACTAATGATGGGGCACTATTCCTCACACACTGACACTAATGATGGGGCACCATCATTGGTGTCAGTGGGAGGAATAGTGTCCCATCATTGGTATCAGTGGGAGGAATAGTTGCCCATCATTGGTGTCAGTGGATGAAATAGTGCCCCATCATTGGTGTCAGTGGGAGGAGTAGTGCCTCATCATTGGTGTCAGTGGGAGGAATAGCACCCCATCATTGGTGTCAGTGGGAGGAATAGCACCCCATCATTGGAATACCATACTGAAATAGCATACCATATTGAAATCAAATCTGATGTTTTTTATTTGGTGTGCGTTGGAAGAGGGGTAGTCTTATACGGCGAGTATAGCTCAAACCCTATATTTTAACAGGAAAAGTAGGGGGTCGTCTTATACGCCGGAAAATACGGTACATTCAAGGGAAACAAGCCCCCCTCCCTGCATAATGACACAAGGCGGGGCAATCCACACCCAAAGTGACTCCCATCACAGTACTGTCGATTGATTTATTGTCTGGGAGAAAAAAATACAATAGGAAGACTAAAAGATTGTTCAATGTGCTATACACTTATCAATCCTATTGATCTATCCACTTTTTTAGGCTAGGTTCATATCTGTGCAGGTGGTGCCACTGCAGATCCGCACGGAAATCCGTGCAGCCACACCACGCGCACAGAGAAATGCGGACCCGCGGGCGGGTGCCATTAATTCTAAATGGCACGCCGCCTGCACTGGAAAACGCAACCGTACTGGGAACCGAGGTTCGGAAAAAAAATGCAGGGACTTCTTCCCTGCATGTCCCAGGCACGGGAGTCCATTCAAATGAATGGGCTCTCGTGTCCAAGCAAAACGTGGCCCACACGGCCGCATATATGTGAACCGGGGTGTCAGGGATGCGGGTGTGACCAGAGATGTGTGGACTGACACAGGGAACCGCAGGCTTCAGATATGGTATAAATAAGACAATTTATTAAGACTAACAATACAAACATAAACGCAGTGCACCAAACCCCAAGCTAACACAAATACATACAACAAGGTGAAACAAACCCAAACCTAAACTGATATAGATACACAGGTACATACACATATAGAGCACAACGTAGTCAGGCAGGCCGGGTCGATAACTATCGGGCAGGTAGGTACAGGAGGAGCAGGCGGAGAGAATGGTCAGGGTCACAAGCCAGGGATCAAACAGGAGAAGTCAGCAGAGGTCAGGATCAGGCAGGGTCAGCAACAAGTCAGGCAGGAACAGGAATGCAGGTTACAAGGTACAGGGGCCCATGGAAAAACACAAACCAAGGCACAGACTGCAGGTCTGGCCATCCCTTAAATACACCACCTGCAATCAGCCCCAGGTGATGGCTAATTGCCGAAGTGAACCTCTGGTTGTTGAGAGCACCCGCTGGCCAGCCCTGGTACTGCAGCCCACAAGGCAGGTGAGTCCCACCACTATTGGCAAGTCCATTCCTGACACGGGGCTTACAGTTGGATTTTCTGTCCAGACCAATCAGAATGACTTCGATTTGCACAAAATCAATCAATGGCAATGGCATTTAGAAGCTCCTAAAGGGTCAGGAGGTTGCGGGTGGCGCCTTCTAGCTTCACAACCATGTTAACTATTGCAAAGCTTTCAGGTGAACTCAGTAAAGTATTACACATGGGTTTCATCACAGTGCATGGTTTAATATTTATGTAAAGCAGGGATCTCCAAATGGCACAGGGGCCACATCCAGCCCACTACGAGGCCCACAGCTAGGGTCAGTGGTGTAACCTCAGCGGAATGCGGAATCAGATTGGTTGGTCTCTGCTTCTGATGGGAACCCTGTATTGTCCCGTTGATCTGTTCCCCATCCGTCTAGTGGATGGGATTGGATGACAATCGGACAGGCGGTCTGTTTCCTTCTGACCACCCTATAGAAGACAGCAGCAGTGTCTGTGTCCGCTCTGCAGTAGCGGAGCAGACACAGACCTGTCATCCACATACTCAATGGCAATCATCAGAGAGCTACCCCCCTGAGCAGGCGGATATGCTGACTGGTTCACCCCCTTCTGAAAGGGTCTTAGGATGCTTTCACACTGATGCACAGCAAAGACACAATCCCTTTAAATCCTTTGGGACTTCACACCACTGTGCTGCGAGTGTGTGCTGCGTTTGAAAGGTCCGGCAAGCTGCATCTTTGGTGCAGTTTTCATATCTACACCAAAAACACAGGTAAGGGAGGACTCTGATGGGGACCCTGATGTAAGGGAGGACTCTGATGGGGACCCTGATGTAAAGGGGGAGGACTCTGATGGGGACCCTGATGTAAGGGAGGACTTTGATGGGGACCCTGATGTAAGGGCAGACTCTGAAGGGGGACCTTGATGTAAGGGGAGGACTCTGATGGGGACACTGATGTAAGGGAGGACTCTGATGGGGACCCTGATTTAAGGGCAGACTCTGAAGGGGACCTTGATATAAGTGCAGACTCTGATGAGGACCCTGATGTAAGAGAGGACTCTGATGGGGACCCTGATGTAAGGGCAGACTCTGAAGGGGACCCTGATGTAAGGGCAGACTCTGAAGGGGACCCTGATGTAAGAGAGGACTCTGATGGGGACCCTGATGTAAGGGCAGACTCTGAAGGGGACCTTGATGTAAGGGGGGACTCTGATGTTTGGGGGACCCTGATGTGTAAGGGCGGACTCTGATGGGGACCCTGATGTAAGAGGGGAGGACTCTGATGGGGACCCTGATGTAAGGGGAGGACTCTGATGGGGACCCTGATGTAAGGGGAGGACTTTGATGGGGACCCTGATGTAAGAGAGGACTCTGAAGGGGACCCTGATGTAAGGGAGAACTCTGATAGGGACCCTGATGTAAGAGGACTCTGATGGGGACCCTGATGTAAGGGCGGACTCTGATGGGGACCCTGATGTTTGGGGGGACTCTGATGGGGACCTTGATGTAAGAGAGGGCTCTGATGGGGACCCTGATGTAAGGGCGGACTCTGGTGGGGACCCTGATGTAAGGGCGAACTCTGATGGGGACCCTGATGTTTGGGAGGACTCTGATGGGGACCCTGATGTAAGGGAGGACTTTGATGGGGACCCTGATGTAAGGGCAGACTGTGAAGGGGGACTCTGATGTGACTCTGATGGGACCCTGATGTAAGAGAGGACTCTGATGGGGACCCTGATGTAAGGGCGGACTCTGATGGGGACCCTGATGTTTGGGGGGACTCTGATGAGGACCCTGATGTAAGGGGGGACTCTGATGAGGACCCTGATGTAAGGGGGGACTCTGATGTAAGGGTCCCAATTGAAATGAATAGAAAACATGTAAAAAAAAACAACATCAAAAACGCACCTGTGTTGCATTTTTGTGCATTTTTTGTAGCCACATGTCCAAGTGTAACAGGCGCATGCAGCATGCGGGGTCATATACACCCAGAAAAGACACTGGAAAATCACCTATGCGTTTACATTGAGCAGCGTGAAAGCAGCCTTAGGTAGTGTCCTCTATTATCTGCATTTCATTCATATACAGATATATGACACTGATAGCAGCATTCAGAATATGAATTCCTCTTTTATTTCTATTTTTCATTTTCAATGGTAAACATTTCCAGATTACAATGTCAGGGGTGACACATGAGCTGCCTTTAGTGACTCCACTTCCACAGGCTGTTAGAATGTTGGTTGTACATTGTGTCTCCTCTTCTGTCCTCTGGTTTGGTCACATGACTGCGGCGTCATCACATCACATGACTTGTCAGGCAGAGACTGAACAAACTCGGAAGTGTCAGATCCCAGCAGGCATGTCTTCCATCAGCAGTGGCTGCACAGGGGATCAGAGCAGCGATCAGCGCAGGTAATGACGCTTTACAGACCATGTGGGGCTGCCAGGTACTGAGCTGCAGGAATCAAATTTATTTAGATATGTTGCCGGTAGTCACCAGACCTAAAAGAAGTCATACTAACACCGGAGAGTGCAAAATCTGGTGCAGCTCTGCATGGCAGCCAATCAGCTTCTAACTTCAGTTTGTTCAATCAAGCTTGGACAAGAAAACCTGGAAGCTGATTGGTTTCTGTGCGGAGCTGCACCAGATTTTTCACTCTTTGATTTTTAGTAAATCTCCCCTGTGTGTCCTTTTGATTCTTGTTGTATTGCCAAGTTAAGGCAGAGCCACGGCACCACCTGCCTGGAGTTTGCATGTTCTCCCTGTGACTGCGTGGGTTTTCTCCGGGTACTCCGGTTTCCTCCGACACTCCAAAAGACATGCTGGTAGGTTAATTGGATCCTGTCTAAATTGTCCCTAGTATGTATATGAAGTTAGAGACCTTAGATTGTAAGCCCCTTGAGTGTTAGGGACTGATGTGAATGTACAATATATATGTAAAGCGCTGCGTAAATTGATGGCACTATATAAGTACCTGTAATAAATAAATAAATAATAACTAAGAGCCATTCACATTTCAAGGGTGTCAAACTGGCGGCCCTCCGGCTGTTGCGAAACTACAAGTCCCATCATGCCTCTGCTTTTAGGAGTCATGCTTGTAACTGTCAATCTTGCAATGCCTCATGGGACTTGTAGTTTGGCAACAGCTGGAGGGCTGGCAGTTTGACACCTGTGCATCATGTGCACTTACTTGCATTTTTCCTCTGGGATGAACACAGGTAACTGCAATGACACATAGGGGGGATTTACTGTCAGAATCTGGTGCCGCTGTACATAGTAACCAATCAGCTTCTAACTTCAGCTTGTTCAGTCAAGCTTTGACAATTATTATTATTATTATACAGGATTTATATATTATTATTATTATACAGGATTTATATATTATTATTATTATTATAATACAGGATTTATATATTATTATTATTATACAGGATTTATATATTATTATTATTATTATTATAATACAGGATTTTATATATTATTATTATTATACAGGATTTATTATTATTATTATTATATACAGGATTTATATATTATTATTATTATACAGGATTTATTTATTATTATTACAGGATTTATATATTATTATTATAATACAGGATTATATATTATTATTATTATTATTATTATTATAATACAGGATTTATATATTATTATTATACAGGATTTATATATATTATTATTATTATTATAATACAGGTTTTATATATTATTATTATACAGGATTTATATATTATTATTATTATACAGGATTTATTTTTTATTATTATTATTATTATTATTATACAGGATTTATTTATTATTATTATTATTATTATACAGGATTTATATAGCGCCAACAGTTTGCTCAGCACTTTACAATATAACGGGAGACAATACAGCAACAATACAGTTCAATACAAGAGGGATTTGAGGGCCCTGCTCCTTGGAGCTTACAATCTAGGAGGGAGGGGCCAGTGGTACAAAAGGTAATAACTGTGGGGGATGGACTGGTTGGAAGAGCAGAAGATTCCATTATTAGCTGAGGGCAGGATAGGTTTCCCTAAAGAGATTGCCTAAAAGTGAGCAGAGTAGGAGATAAATTGGGGTAGAGAGTTCCAGAGGATGGGGGAAGCTCTGGAGAAGTCCTGGAGGCAAGCATGGAAGGAGGAGCTAGAGAATAGGAGGTCTTGTGAGGAGCGGAGAGTACGGTTTGGGTGATATTTAGAGACAAGATCGGTGATGTAATTTGGGGCAAAGTTATAAATGGCTTTATACGTTATTGTTAGTGTTTTGAATTTTATCCGTTGGGCAATGGGAAGGCAGTGGAGGGGTTGGCAGAGAGGGGTGGCAGATACAGTCCCCAGTCACACTGGATGTGAATTGGCATGCAATTTGTATGCCATGCGACATGAAAATCACATGCCAAGTCGCACTCTATTGTCTGCAATTACAGCGGTCATATTGGTGCAGTTCTGACTTGGTCGGAGCCGCACCGATTTCTAAAGTAGTACATGCACTATTTTTGGAGCGATTTGCATAGACATCTGTGTCAAATGTCTTGCAAATCACACCTGAAATCAGCATGTCCCCCAACTTTGAAATCGTGCAACTTCACTGTAAGTTGCACAATTTCAAAGTAGGGTTTGGTGTTAGCAGGGTGTAAGGCTAGGTTCACATCTACGTGTTCCTACGGGCTGCGTTTTGCGCGGGCATGAGAGCCCATTCATTTTAATGGACTCCCGTGCCCCGGGACAAGCAGGGAAGAAGTCCCTGCACTTCTATGGAAACCACACCCCGCACAGGAACCTCGGTTCCCAGTACGATTGCAATTTCCAGTGCAGGCTGCGTGTCATTAGAATTAATGGCACTTGCCTGCGGGTTCACATTCCTCTGTGCAGGTGGTGCGGCTGCACTACCCACATAGAAGTGAACCAAGGGAAAACCTGGAAGCTGATTAGCTACCATGCACAGTCGCACCAGATTTTGCACTCTCCAGTTTTAATAGATCTCCCTTATAGCAACAATAGTTTTCTATGTGTCATGTTCACACCAGAGCGCACTTTTTATCTGCATTCAAGAGATATGCGATATTAAGCAGCATGTTTGCGTATTATTGCACAGAAATGCACATAAAAACGTGTAAAGGCACATAAATGCAACACACTTCTCATCCACAATTAGTAGGTCAGAGAAAAGATGCCTTTTAAAAAGGGCAATAATTTGACAATAATTGACAATAAAACCTGGAAGCTGATTGGCTACCATGCACAGTCGCACCAGATTTTGCACTCTCCAGTTTTAATAAATCTCCCGTATAGCAACAATAGTTTTCTATGAGTCGTGTTCACTCCAGAGCGCAGCTTTAATCTGTATTCACGAAATATGCGATATTAACCCTTTGGCGCCGATGTAACACAAACATGCAGCCTCATGGAACTAGGCTTTTTTTTCCGTGGGGCTGCATATTTGCGTACTTGTCTCTCTGCTGGGAGTGCGCCGCACAGCGCGCTCCCAGCACAAACACCAGGGTGTCACTGAGAGCCCCGGGTCCTGATCGTTACCCAGGACTCCTGATTCCGGGTCACATGATCTCTGATTGACTATCACAGTGATCAGTCACTGTACAGCCCGGCCCCCTTGTTTTTTTTTTCTCTCTATGAATGGAGGTGAGAGATACATTGTATCTCTCTAACTCCTGGCATAGAGGGGGAAAATACATTTATTTATTGAAATATATTGAATATGTCCAAAATTGTAGTATTTCAAATATATCTAAATATATTTGGGAAGAATATTTTTAAAATATATTTTTCTGCCATATGGGTTAGCCTCAGGACCTGTGTAATTAATATGTGTTCGGTTTTAAAGGGATGAGGTGGCTACCCAAGGTGTCACCCCTCTGGTGGGTGTCATCCAAGTGCGGTCCGCACCCCCATAGTGATGCCACTGCTTGTTCTGGGTTAGCAACTTAGTGTATGGAGGTCAATGGATCAGCATGGCAGCCAGGCAGCTGGCATTTTCAGAATGAGACCTGCAGTTTTTGTTTTTTCTCAGTAAAAGTTTCCTTAACCACCTCCCATCCGGCCGTTGTATAAAAACGGCCGGACGGTGGCAGTGCAGGGTCATGTGGCCATTTATAAAAGGCCTCCCCGAACCCTGTTTGTGCGCGCTGTCTGGGAGCGCGCAGCACAGCAATCCGGTGCCCGCTGTGTCCTCCAGACACAGTGGAACACCGAGCGTCAGACGGGACCTCTGTGTGAGGTCCCGATCATGTGATCATTGATTGGCCAATCTGTGATCATATGCAGAGTAGTAAGCAAGATGTCACTTCTGACATCATTGCTTACTACATGTGGCATCTGTGAATGATCACAGAGGTCACATGGTACAAGGCTATTCACAACAGCCTTGTACCATGTGACAAGCTGTAACCAATCACAGCTCACTCAGTAGTTCTCAATGGCTGCAAGAATACAGCTAGAGAGAAGGAGAAATGATTGCTTTTACAGTCTTTATGGGTGTAAAAGCAAACAGTGTGAAAAAAAAAAATTCATCAACCCCCACAAGTAGTACAGTATCACCATGGTCACACTGTACTGCTAGGCTGACAGTATGTAAAAAAAATAATATAAAAAAAAAAAAAAAAAAGTTTAAAAATGATAATTTTTGGTTAGAAACTAATTTCGGTAATTTTTTTTACTAAAAAGCCAAGATTTATGATGAAATATTATTAATTTGCTAAATTTTATAAGAAAAAACACTTTTTTTTTCAAAATTTATGGACTTTTTTCATTTACATAGCAAAAAAAAAAATAAAAATCCCAGTGGTGAATAAATACCACCAAAATAAAGCTTTATCGGTCTAAAAAAAAATGCTAAAAAATTCATATGTGTACAGTGTTGCATGACCGCGCAATTGTCATTCAAAGTGTGATAGCACTGAAAGCTGAAAATTGGCCTGGACAGGAAGGGGGGTGAAAGTGTCCGGACTGGAAGTGGCTAATGCATTGTTCGTTCCCATAGTTCTGACACCTTTGTACATAAAATTTGCAGCTTAATTCCGCTGTCTGTTTTCTTACAAGTCTTAGAAAGAAGATCAAGGACAAATTAATCATGTATGATGTTGGCAGCCGATACAACCACATTCCTCTTCAGAAAGCCTCAGTTCTGCTCCCTCTGCAAATTAGACAAGGCAGACTCTACCTGCTTCTGACTGTCAGATCAATGGAGGTAAGTGCGCTATTCCTCACACGGTTTGTTCTGGGACTGTACAATGAACATTTTGCATCATTACCCCTCGCTCACAGCTAAACTGCCACAAATAGGATCATTTGCTCATCTTCTCTCCGGGAGCAAATTGTCTTTTTGCTGCTTATGGGGAGAATCTGGCAGTTATATCATTTAAATGCTGATCTGCCTTTTCATCATCACCTTTAAAGGTGATTATCTGCAGTGCAGCTGTGAAAATCTCCTACTTCATTTAAAAGGAAATACATGCCGTGTGTATGTGTGTGTGTATATATATATATATATATATATATATATATATATATATATATATACACCCTTTGCATTGGTGTCAGTGTATACCATAACAAGCCCCAATATTGGTGTCACTGGACACGAGCATAACCCCCAGCATTGGTGCCAGTAAATGAAAGAATAACCCTCAGCATTGGTGTCAGTGGATGTAATAATTACTCCAGTGCTAGTATCAGTGGATGCATTATGTCAGTATTTCTGTGCTCAAAGCGGTACATTTTTTTGCATGGAAATATGTAATTTTTTTATTGTAGACCTGTAATTTTTAGGAATAACTTACTGAAATCTGTCTGAACGAGAGTCTAGTAAACATCCCGGATATGTTAATCTCCCTAGCGGTATTCCCGAGTGTAGCTCGGGGTAAAATGTCAGTACCAAAAGCGGTAACCCCGAGCTACACTCGGGCTTACCATGCGGTGCTGCATAGGGAGTCCCTGCAGAGCTTACCTTGTCCTTCGCTCCCGCGATGTGTCCCCTGCAGCGTCCCCGGCCATCTCCTCCGGCCGATGCCGGCATCCGGCTTCTGTGTTCCGGTCCCTGTCCCTGTGATGTCGGGACGTACGGGCGCCGCCAGCAGCGGGAAATTTGAAAATTTAAAAAAATGTCATTTTTTTCCAAACAAATTTTACATAGTATAACATTGCTGTATCAAACCATTTCACATACATTTTGTCCCGAGTGCTTTGTCCTGTGCCCTGCCTGCATTTTTACTGTTCTTTCTGCCTGGAAACTGAGAAACGTCCATGGCGTCCAAAAAGCGTCCCTTTAGGTTAAAAGTGGGTTTAGATCAGCTAGAGAACAGCGATAGTAAATCAGAACCACTTGCAGAATTGAGTGATAATGATTTGTGGGGGAAATTCGTCATCAGACACTGAAAACGATTTTGTGACTTTGCTCAGCAATGTGCGAACTTGGCGCTATATTTCAAATTTCAGTGTTTTTGGTTTGATTATATTATTGAATTAAATGAATTATTATATTATTATTTTTTATGATTATTTATTAAATTATAATTTATGATTTTGTGTTTCAAATTTTATCATACCCGGGATGTTTACTAGACTCTTGTTCAGACAGATTTCAGTAAGTTATTCCTAAATATTACAGCCTACAATAAAAAAAACTACATATTTCCATGCAAAATAATGGTACCGCTTTCAGCACCAAAAATCTGAAATAATCATACCGCTAGGGAGGTTAAAATTTGAAACACAAAATCATAAATTATAAACATACGTTTATAATTATAAACAAACATAAAAACGACAAAATGTTTTCCATCATAAAAATATCAATAAAATCATACAAAAAAAGTCAAATGGCATATCATTAATTGTACAATGGATATATTTTCTTCAGTTAAAAGAGAGCATAATGCATTGATGCGTTGAGCAATTTTTCGCTGCCACAGGATTCATACCCCTGAATGATATGGCGTTTGACTTTTTTTTTGTATGATTTTATTGCTGTTTTAATGATGGAATCCAATTTTGTGCTTTTTATGTATTAATGTATGAACCCTATCAAGGCACATCTAAAATCTCATCGTATAGTTGCCTGCCTCACAGGCCCTAAAAGGGAATTGATGAAGGGTTTGTGTGCTGGTTCACTTTAAAGGGATGGTACCATAATAGGGGGTAGATGAAAACATCCTATGTTTTACTTTAGGTATTTCTATAGCGCCGTCAATTTACACAGCGCTTTACATATATATTTTACATTCACATCAGTCCCTAACCCTCAAGGGGTGTACAATCTAAGGTCCCTAACTCACATTCATACATACACATACTAGTGCCAATTTAGACAGGATCCAATTAACCTACCAGCATGTCTTTGGAGTGTGGGAGGAAACTGGAGTACCCGGTGGAAACCCACGCAGGCAGAGGGAGAACATGCAAACTCCAGGCAGGTGGTGCCGTGGTTGGGCTTTGAACCAACGACCCGAGTATTGCCAGGAGGGAGTGCTAACCATCTAACCACTGTGCTGCCCAATATATAAATATGTTTACATAATGATATTAAGAACACCATACTTAATTGTTTTGGTATTTTGTACAGCTGAACACGATGCCAGGACAGGTGTGCTTTCCTGGAGGAAGACAGGATCCATCAGACCAAGATGAAATAGAAACAGCTCTAAGGGAATCCGAAGAAGAGATCGGACTGTGTGCTAACCAAGTGGAAGTCGTTTGCAGGCTTCTTCCCTACTTTACCAAGGTAAGTAAATGTAATCGGGTTTAAGTCCTGTAATTCTGAGGTTCTATACCACAGGTGTCAAACTGGTGGCCCTCCAGCTGTTGCCAAACTACAAGTCCCATGAGGCATTGCAAGACTGACATTTACAAGCGTGACTCCCAAATGTAGAGGCATGATGGGACTTGTAGTTTTGCAACAGCTGGAGGGCCGCCAGTTTGACACCCCTGTTCTATACTGTCATTGGTAATGAACTGATGTTTTAAATAATGTTTATAAATGAAAAATAAAGCCTTCTATTGCTACTGAAATATTTTTTTCTCACAGATTATAAGCTCTAATAAGCAGGGCCCTCTGTTTCCTCTTGTACCAAATTGTATTGTAACTGTAAAGTCTATCTTCATTTTGTAAAGCGCTGAGCAAACTGTTGGAGCTATATAGATCCTGTATAATAATAATAATAATAATATAATAATCAGGACTGCATACCTCTGGAACACCTGCTCCATCTAGTGGTAAAGTAATAAAATGACAGCTTTCCAAATATGAATGAAAAGATTCCGGAATTTGGGTTCCTAATTTATGAATGTAGCCCATCAATGCAACTCCCTTCTCACTGGCCTGCCTCGCCGCTGGCTATCCCCGCTTCAGTCGATCCTGAATACGGCTGCCAGACTCATTCACCTTTCCAACCGCTCCATCTCCACCACCCCCCTCTGCCAATCCCTCCACTGGCTTCCGATTGCACAACGGATGAAATTCAAAATCCTAACACTGACGTACAAAGCTGTCCACCATATTGCCCCGAACTACATCTCTGACCTAATATCCAAGTACCGCCCAGCACGCACACTCCGCTCCTCACAAGACCTCCTTCTCTCTAGTTCGCTGGTCTCCTCCTCCCATGCCCGCCTCCAGGACTTCTCCAGGGTGTCACCCATCCTCTGGAACTCCCTGCCCCAACCCATCAGATTATCACCTACTCTCCTCTCCTTTAGGCGCACCCTGAAAACCCATCTCTTCAGGGAAGCCTACCCCACCCCCTGCTAACTTGCCGACCTCCTCCACTCTTCCTACCACTCCATCCCCCACAGCTATCTCCTCCTGTACCACTATCCTCTCCCTCCTAGATTGTAAGCTCCAAGGAGCAGGGCCCTCGATCCCCTCATGTTTTGCATTGTATTGGTATTGCTCTGTCACATGTTCTGTCCCCCTATGTAATGTACAGCGCTGAGCGAACTATTGGCGCTTTATAAATACTGTATAATAATAATAATCTTCATGATGCAGAGCCTTGTTGGAAGGGAAAATCTCGTGAATATTAGTTATTCCTCAATTCAGCAGCATTCCTCATTGATATATAGATAAATGGCACTGATCATATTTTGAATGGATATACTGTATTATATCGGTGCTTATTTCATCAGTATGTAACTGTTTGAGTGGATCTACCTACATATTGTAAATGGCAGGAACAGTCTGCAATATGGACTACACTTAAGAAAAGTTAGGACTGGCCAAATTAGATTTCAGGAATTGACAAGACGGTAGTAACAACTCTATGGACGGATCACATAAACATCTGCTAGGACTGCATTTGTTGCTACCTATCACTATACTTGGTGTTACCGGAACTTTATTTTTAATTAGTTAGATGCTAATAAAGTGTAACAGGTTTTGGATCACCACTGACACCAATAATTATATCCTTCACACCGAACACAAATGATAAGCAATCTATTCCTTCCTCTGACACCATTGATGGGCAATATATTCTTCCCACTGATGGTAACGATGGGCATTATATATTCCTTCCATTGAGCACCAGTAATGGGCATTCAATGGAAATACACCAAAAACGCATGTAAAATGTATGTACATGCATATTTAGTGTTTTTCTGGCAGAGTTTTGTGTTAAAATCCAGTCTCCTCCTACAATAAAAAAGCATGAAAAATGCGTGAAAAATTGACTAGAAAATTGCACTGAAATTGCACCAATGTGAACCGCTTCTTATTCCAGAGGAGTAAAATGAACCTACTGAATCGCTCTACTGATGTCATCCGTTTCTTTCAATGTCCATTTGTAATTATACCAATCTACCACTAGATGGGGCGGTCATTTTCAGTTTTAGACAGTCATCTGTAGTACAGAATTTACAATAGAGTAGATGTTATTTCTACCCGAATCACACCCAGGATTTCAATAGCATTATTGGGGTTTAATATTTGTAAAATTGGGAGTATTGTTAAATGTTTGGAATATATTATATCACTAAGAATGTTAAGTAGTTTCCAAATGAAACGATAAACACATTCATCACATGGGAGCTCGCCTATTGTTAGACGTGTCAAAAGTTTTAAAGATAACCTGCGCTAGTGCGTAAATTGTATGAGTTATTGTGTGTCTGCTATATCCTCCCACTGACACCAATGATGGGGGCACTATTCCTCCCACTGACACCATTGACGGGGCATTATTCTTCCCACTGACACCATTGATGGGGCACTATTCCTCCCACTGGCACCAATGATAGGGCACTATTCCTCCCAATGACACCAATGATAGGGCACTCTTCTTCCCTCTGACACCATTGACAGGGCATTATTCTTCCCACTGACACCATTGACGGGGTGCTATTCCTCCCACTGGCACCAATGATGGGGCACTATTCCTCCCACTGACACCAATGATGGGGCACTATTCCTCCCACTGACACCAATGATGGGGCACTCTTCCTCCCACTGCACCCACTGAAACCAAAGACAGGGCCCTATTCCTCCCACCAACACCAGTGATGGAGCACTATTCCTCCCACTGACACCAATGACGGGGTCCTATTCCTCCCACTGACACCAACGATGGGGCACTATTCCTCCCACTGACACCAATGACGGGGCCCTATTCCTCCCACTGACACCAACGATGGGGCCCTATTCCTCCCACTGACACCAACAATGGGGCCCTATTCCTCCCACTGACACCAACAATGGGGCCCTATTCCTCCCACTGACACCAACGATGGGGCCCTATTCCTCCCACTGACACCAACGATGGGGCCCTATTCCTCCCACTGACACCAACGATGGGGCCCTATTCCTCCCACTGACACCAACGATGGGGCCCTATTCCTCCCACTGAACCAACGATGGGGCACTATTCCTCCCACTGACATCATTGATAGGGCACTATTCCTCCCACTGGCTGGGATTTGAACCAACGACCCTAATACTGCCAGGCAGAAGTGCTAACCATTTAGCCACTGTGCTGCCCATGTCAGGAAGCGTTTGCATTACTATAATGACAGATATCCTGTTGTATGTAGTTTTGTTGTTTGACATCCTTTTAATGCCTCTCTTTTCTTCCAGTCTCCAGCATACTTGGTCACTCCAGTGGTTGGGATTGTGGAGGACACCTTTCAGCCATCACCTAACCCCAATGAGGTCACAGACGTCCTCCATGTTCCCTTGGATCTGTTTATCAGCTTGGATCATCACACTGGAATACCATATAACATGCCCCCTTTTGGAATGCAGACCATTCATAAATTTGAGCATCAGGATGAAAAATCCAAGAGAAGCTTTCACATTTGGGGGCTGACGGCTCATTTTGCCTTACTGCTTTCAGTCATCGTCCTAGGAAGACGTCCGTTGTTTGACCCAGGGTTTGATCTTGAGAACACATTGAACATTTGTGAGAAAACTATCTTGGACTATCATAATCTGAGTAAACTGTAGCATTGCACGGACAAATGACTGGTGCCAAATCTTATTAAACGTTGTTTTAGATTCTTACCAGCATGTGTTCTATATGTGCAGACATAGGCCATTCCAGTGTGCTTGATGAAAAGGTTCACACAGAGTTCTAAAAGGAAGATTCTGCATTTTCTGTGATCACATCAGACCCTGTGCTGTAAAAGATCAGATCCCCAGCATCCGTTTAGATGTGCATGTAACTTGCAAAACATGGCACTCCTAATGCAGTCACTGAGGGGACATTGCCAGGGCTGGTATCATTCAATATGTGAGAGTTGGCTTCCATGTTTAGTAAATCACAGATACCAACGTCTTTTAACCACTTCCGCCTGCTTACCATAGAGATGACCAAAGACCAGAGCGTCCCTGGTCATCTCTATGTTATAAAAAACAAGAAGCAACTAGTGTTTTGTCACTTCTGGTTTCGCCAGGATGTACAGAAGCCATTACTGGCTTCTGAGAGCATCTGATCAAACTGATCTTGGTTTAATCAGATGCTTTTAGGGTAGAACAGAGATCTGGGGTCTAAAGGCCCCAGATCTCTTAGTAAAGAGAACCTGTCAGTGCTCCAGCTATCACAATGGATGCTGTCCATCCCTCGTGATAGCAAAAAAGGTTATTAAAAAAAAATAAAGAGAGTGTAAAAAAAGTAAATAAAATAAACAAAAAATCAGTAAAACTTTTAAAGTGCTGCACGCATATGTAAACAATGTTCGAACCACACATGTGAGGTATTGCCACGAACGTCAGAGTGAGAGCAATAATTACCTGTAAAGGCTTTTAGCAGAGATTTTTAGATACCCAGGTTTGGCACTGTTCCACGGATGTACACAATTTTAAAGTGTGGCATGTTAGGTATCTATTTACTTGGTATAACATCATATATTTTATTTCACTAAAAAATGGATATTATATTGTGTTTGTGTGCTTAATTTCATTTTTTTCCAAATAATTTGTGTTTAAAAAAACACTGCACAAATACTGTGTTATATATAAAAAATTTCAACACCCACCATCTTATTCTCTAGGGCCTCTGCGTAAAATAAATTATAATGTTTGGAGTGTTAAGTAATTTTCTAGCAATAAAATTAGATTTTTACATGTATGTAAAACATGTCAGAACTAACCCGGGGGTCATGTGGTTAAACGAAAACAAACGTATGCACAAAGTGTAGTTGGTGGATATTTGGTGTATACAACACCCTAAAATGAAGGATTTTACATATTATTTGATTGTGCATAAATCATATATTTGTATTGATTATTTTCTTAGTGTCTCATTATACTTTGTCCTAGGCCCCCCAATCAAATATTGGGAACCAAGTGTGGTCTGATCATTCTCCCAATTTACTTAGATTAGCAATTCTCTAAGAGAATGAAATCTTTTTGCACTTGGAAGTTAAATGAAAATGTTTCACAAGATAAGATATGTTGATAATCATCTAAAGGAGAAGAATGCAGAACTCACAAACTTATTGAAATTATTATCACAAAGAGAGATGTGTCATAAACACAGACCTTCACCCCGGTTCATCTAGAACTTCTATTAGCCACTGTATTGCTTTTACAGACAACAGGAAGGGTTACCCCTCCCGCCACTCGCTGGTATCTTCCCCAGCTCTAATGTCCCAGGACTGCCTTGGATTGGTTCCTCTGGCTTACCATAGAGCCGAACCATAGATACCATAGAGATTTTCCCTGTTCATCTCTATGGTATAAGAAACCAGAAGCGGCAAGTATTTTGTCACTTCCGGTTTTTCCAGGATGTAAACCAGCCATTACTTGCTTGTGAAAGCATCTGATTAAACCGATTTTGGTTTGATCAGATGCTTTTACGGACAGAGGAGAGGTATGGGGTCTGTCCCTTGTGATAGCAATAAAAATGATAAAAAAAGAGAGCGACAGTGTAAATAAAAAATGTTAATATAATAGTAAAAAAAAAATTAAAGTATATTATGAATCCCATCTTCAGGAGTATTTGAACCAGGTTATCTGTAGAGCAATGAAACAACTTAGGATTTAATTAGAAAACAAGAACTTTCCCAAGTACTAAAATCATTATCACTAAAATGATTTTAGTACTTGGGAAAGTTATGTTTTCTAATTAAATCCTAAGTTGTTTCATTGTTCTACAGATAACCTGGTTCAAATACTCCTGAAGATGGGATTCATAATATACTTACATTTTTTTTTACTATTTTATTTTATTTCCTTTTTTTTTTTGTGACGTATAGGAGGTGCTCAACAAGAGTGATTCTGATCACCAAGGGTCTCCATTACATGCTGTATATGATGGCATAAGGTGACTGTGATTGCACTTTTATACTTATGTCAGCACAATAGGTTTGTATCATTTTATTGTTGCAACATTGCAATAGTCAATAATGTATGCATGCAAATGCAATAACATCAGCATAAATATTCATGAATTTTCCTTAATAATATATTTTGTACAAAAATGCACAAATACATGCAAAACATACGCCTGGAATTACGTCCAAAAAAAACAGAGGATCAAACATCAGTACTGTGTGCAAGAGACCAAAAAGTGACATTAAGTCCTCATGCACACGGGACGTTTTTACAGCGGCTGTTTTTGGCTTTTTTTTTCTACAGCCAGTAAACCCCCCAGCATGCTATCCTATGTGTCCATGTACACATAGACTGTAATCATTGTTTTTTGGCTGGAAAAAAGGACCACTGGGTTTCTAGAGGAGTTTTTTAGCTGTAAAAATGCTCTAATGCTGAAAAATGTGGTAAAATGCTGCAAAACAGGCGTTTGTGGACTTTTTTTGCCCCCAAAAATATTTTTTTTTGGTCAAAAAGAAAGCTAAAAAATGCAAACGCATGCGAAAGCTAAAAAACGCCACTGGACACTAATGCAAAAACGCTAAAAAAGCTGAAAAACTCAAGTTTTTACCATGACTTTACACAGCTTACGTTACCAACGTTATCAAAACGTCCAGTGTGCATGAGGACTTAGGCTAGGTTCATATCTGTGCGGGTGGTGCCGCTGCGGATCCGCACGAAAATCCGTGCATCCACACCACCCGCACAGAGGAACCCGCGGGCGGGTGCCATTAGTTCTAATGGAACGCCGCCCACACAGGAAAACGCCACCATACTGGGAACCGAGGTTCCCGTGCGGGCTGCGTTTTCTTCAGAAGTGCAGGGACTTCTTCCCCGCGTGTCACAGGGCACGGGAGTCCATTCAAATTAATGGGCTCTCGTGCCCGTGCAAAATGCGGCCTACACAGCCGCATAGACGTTGTTGAAAGCTGGGGTTATTGTTTTCTTTTGCCTTCTATACATTTATGAGAGGAATTGAGAAGTAAAGGACTTTGGATGCTTTGGTGATGAAGAGGGAAAGTTACATCTGGTGGCTGTTTGTATAATTACACATGCCTGATATGACCCACTCTTGAGGGTCTGAACTTCTAGCAGGGGCGACCTGACAACTCATGGGGCCCCGGGGCAATAAGGGATCATGGGGCCCCTGTGTCCTTGCCCAAACTCAAAAAAGCCTATGAAAAAAGGTACCAGGGGCATCTCATGGGGCCCCCGCGCAGTGCCTGAGTTTCCAAATGGTCAGTCCGCCCCTGACTTCTAGGGAGCATTTCAAATGTTCTTAGCACTGCACAGATGGTCAATTAAAGATTGACTCAGACATTATTTATTTCAGGTACTTTTATAGCGCTGTTAATTTATGCAACACTTTACATATATATTGTACATTCAATATATGTCCCTAACCCTCAAGGGGCATACAATCTATTGTCCCTAACTCACATTCATACTAGGGCCAATTTAGACAGGATCCAATTAACCTACCAGCATGTCTTTGAAGTGTGGGAGGAAACTGGACTAACTGGAGGAAACTCATGCAGGCACAGGAAGCACATGCAAACTCTAGGAAGGTGGTGCCATGGTTGGGATTTGAACCAACACCCCTAATACTGCCAGGTGGAAGTGCTAACCATTTAGCCACATAGTATGGACGTTACTTTGAGTCAGCAGATAGTGACTCTAAAGGCTGGGACTGTATCATTTACATTTGTAGGACTTGGGGTGATAGGGTTATTCCAGCAGTTTTTTATATATACTGTATTTGTGCTGTCTGTTGCTTCTTCATCCAGCATGTAGGCACTCTATACAGGAGGTGTGTTACTGGCTGAAAACAGTAACAGAGGGAAAAGCCTATGTTACATTTTTTGTTTGGGGTTTAACCACTTCCCATCCAGCCTATTGTAATATGACGGCCAGGGCGGGACTTTCCTTGTTCCCGGAGGACATCACCGAGAGGTCCTCCTGGAACACGCCTTGCACATGACCATGTGGCTGCGCTAAAGACGCGATCTGTCACCCGCTGTTTTCACCGAACACAGCAGATGACAGATCACTGTACTGACCTGCTGCTGATACTTTCAATCACAGCAGATCACATGACAATTGTAAACAATGAATGGCTACGATTCATGCCATTCATTGCGTACAATTGTGTTGCTAGCTGTGAGTGGTCAGAGTGATCACCTGGTACAGACAGAGCCAATCACAGCCCATCTGTACCATGTGATTAGCTGTGGCCAATCACAGCTAATCACAATATATACTGAATTAATCTATTTTCATTCAGTAAAAATGCTTGCTTATAGCAATAAAATTCACTTCAATAAGCAATCATAATCATAAAAAAAAAAAAATCTTGATCAATTCCCTAGAGTACTACAATGTTACTATGGTAACATTGTATTCATTGTATTGCTCTGGTCACAGTTTGCTAAAAAAAAAAAAAAAAAAAAAGAAAAAAAAAGAATCCAGGACAAAATTTTTATAAAAAATATTGTTTTTTTGTTTTTTCATACTGTCATCAGTAAGTGTCCCTGACCACCACCACACCAGTTACATGATGATACAGTACTGCACTGGTGACAGTATGTAAAAAAAAAGTTGTGAACATTCTTTTTTTAATTTCTTAGTTTTCC